GTCTCACAGGAGTAGTTTTTAAAGGAGAAAATCACGGGGTGTGTGTTGCATTGTGTAGGTCCTGATTGGATGTGTTAGCCAGTGTAGCCCAATAATGAATTTTGGTGGCTTGATAGTAGACCTTGGTGATCAGCCTCAGGAATCAGTCAGGCATAAGGAAGTGGCCCTGGATGGCCAGCTTTAGGAATGTGATCTAATGACTTAACATGAGAGAGAGGAGTGAAAGGGCAAGACCTGCCAATGCCATGTTAGCCATGTTAGCCATGCTCTGGCCTGTGAGAGACCTTCAGTGATGTCCTTGGATCACCACCATCAGCTCCCTGAAAGCAGGCCCATTCCTAATTCGTGTCAGGGTTCAAGCTGGAGTTTGGGGTCCCACTTTGCTAAACTGCAGCCATAAGACCTTTCTTTTCCATGCTCAACATCCAGCTTGGGTTTCTTTCTAAGAAAATATGCTGGCTTTTCTTTCTAAGCCACTGACTGCCACAGGAAAGTTGAGGCTCACTAGGCTGCCTGGAGCTGGGGAGGGGCTCTTGGTATGGAAAGGGTGCTGATGCCCCTGGTCCTCTGGCTGCAGCTCTCCCAGTGTGTCCCCTTCCTCCTGTCCAGATACCAGATCCTGCCACTTACCAGTCCTTGTGGAGGCTGCACTTGTTCCCGTCATGGCTCGGTGGGTGTTTTCATTCACTCAGAGCACAGGTGGAGGAGGCTTGTTTGTAGTACCCACAATGTGTCATTTGTGGGTTTCTGTGTGATTTCCAGCTCATATTTGGAAAAAGTATTTAAAAAGCTGCCAGAGGTGAGGCTCTTGTGGAAGGCAGAACTGAGCTGAAGATGTTCATACTGAAGCCTGCCTGGCCTCGGAGTGAGGTACACTGGGAGAGGCAGAATGGTTTGAGGGGAGATGCACTGCAGTGAGGTTGCCAAGCAGATCACAGCAGATCCCTTAGGGAGCCTAGGAGCTGATTCGCCAAGGTGTGTCAAATTCAAGCAAGGAGATGAGAACTTTGTGCCCCACATAGGCCTATGCTTGGATGTGAGCTGGCGTCTTTGTCCATGCTCTGATGCTATGTCACAGTTGGATGGAGGTAGGATGAGCCTGAAAGCTGAACTCTGGGAAGTTCAAGAGTTTGGCTATGCGATCTGTCAGGGGCCTTCTTGCTGCATCTTAGCATGACAGATGCCATATGGCAAGATGGAGCCAGTGTACCACTCAGGACTCTTTCTCTTTTTAGGAAGCTGCTAATCCACTCTAGTGACATCATCTAACCTTAATTTCCCCACCTCTGAGTACTGGAAAGCTGAGGTTAAGTGACTGACACATGACATCATCTGGGAGAAGTGGCATGTCTCTGGTTGTTCCCAGGGAGACCTTGGGAACCACATGCTGCTGGCCAACTCATTGACTGTCCCATAGGGTGGATCTCTATGGGCTTCCAGCATCCACAGAGGCTAATGTGTCAAGTCAGAGCACTCTGGAGGCCATGCTTGAGCTGTTGTGTAAAATGGTTGATTCCCTCCCTCTCCCTCTCTCTCTCCCTCTCCCTCCCTTTCTTTCTTTCTCTCTCTCCCTCCCTCACTTCCTGCCTTTCATTTCCTTTCTCTTCATTTCTTCTCTCTTCCTTTGATGTCTCTCCTTTTCTTCACTTTCGCATTTTTTCTTTTTTCCTTCCTCCTTCCCTTCTTTCCTTTCTCTTTTTTTCTTTATATATGTGCATGAGAGAGCCAGAGATCAACTTTGGGTGTCACTCCTCAGGTGCTGTCCACCTTCATTTTTGAGACAGTGTCTCTTGCTGGAATCTTGAGCTCTCTGATTAGGCTAGGTAGCTGGATGGTAATGCTCCAGAGATTCTTCTCTCTCTACCTCCCCAGGGCTGGGGCTATAGGCATTTAATACCATGCCATTTGTTGTTCTCTCTCTCTCTCTCCCTCTCTCCTTCCCTCGCTCCCTCTCCCCCACCTCTGTATGTATGTGTTATGGTGTTTGTGTGTGTACAAATGTGCATGTGTGTGCACTATAAATAAGACACACATGACCTTGCTTAGCTTTTTATGTGGGTCCTGGTGATCCAAACTCAGGCCCTCACTCTTGCATGGCAGGCATTTTACTGACTGAGCAATCTCATTAGCCTTTGCCTTCTTTAGTTTGTTTGTTTACTTGCTTTTTCATTTTTTAAAAACATTTCTAGGGTTGCAGCTATATTTAACAGAAGGTACAGAGATTTTTTTCCTCATCTACTATGAATGCACAGCTTCCCCAACTACCCACATTCACCCCAGAGCAGTCTGTGTTGCCATTTATTGATTCTGCAATACTACCTCATTATCACTTAAAGTTCAAAGTCAAAGTTTGGGCTCAGTCTTGGTACAGTGCATTCCGTGGGTTTGGACCAGTGTGTAGTCACGAGTATCTATGATGGTAGTGTCTTCCAGAGTGGTTTCCCTGCCCTGTAAACGGCAGCATTCCACCCATTCATTCCTCTCTGGCTCCAACCAGCCTCCGGCAGCCCCCTTTTATGGAGTGATATGAAGTTGGAACTACACAAGTTGGGTTGGTACCTTTCACACAGAGAAATTGTTAGGAGCTGCTGTTTGCTTTTGTCTTGTAGTCATGGGAATAGGACTCAGCGCCTCCCCATGTTGTGGCACTGCTCTATATACCTTAACCCAGTTTCTACCTTTTGTTATGTAACCCAGACTAGCCTTGAACCTGCAATCTTCCTGCTGCCACTTAAAGCTAGTACTACAAGATCTGCCACCAGGCTTGGATCTTGGTTCTGTTGTTGTTTTGTGTGCTTGAGACAAGGTCTCACTATAAAACCTAGGTTGCCCTTTCATTCATTATTCTCCAGCTTCTGCTTCTTGAGATGCTGGTATTGGAGACCTGCATGACCATACCCAGTGACAATTGTATTTTTAGACTATTCTGTGAAGCCCCTTTTAGAGGAAAAGAAGCTCTGGGCCTCTCAATGTCCTTTCAGCCAACAACATTTTTTCACTTGTTAAAGGATCTGGAATCCTTGTAAAATGTTACTTGAAAGTCACTGTTCTCCTACAGCCCTCTTACTTAACAGATGACAGCCTTGGGAACTGGAGATGGGAAGGGGTTTTCCCAGAGTCACACAGCCTGCCAAAGCAGATAGGACCCATGTCTCATGTATTGGTCCTATGCCACTGGACAGTTGTGAACTCAGCTGTCCCCCAGCTTGGCTACCCCTGCTTCCTCTGCCCAATATCCACCATGGACGAACTCTGTGGGTACTTCCAAGTCTATTTCCAGTTTCTCTAATTACTGTGTCTTACCATAGGCTGACTGACTGCTCTAAGCCCAGAGGAGCTAGGACACTGGGAGAGAAATACCAAGATGGTTGAGGATGCTGGGAGAGAGGACAAGCTTGGCAACAGGGTGAAGACAACCAGAGGGTGATTCCATGACACAGCTGCAGCCCTGTGTTCCCAGTGACATCCCCTGTAGCTCAGAAAAAGTTGTGGTCCTCAAGCTAACCTCCTCCTAGCCTCAAAAATCTTACTCCTATTGCCCCTGTCCCAGGTACCCTATCCTGAGCCATCTTCTGAAGCAGACCAAGCCAGAAGGACCTTAGACAGCCTCCAAGGCAAGAGGTGCAGACAAGGAGCTGAAGGAGACATAACTGTGACACATATTAGCGTGCAGAGAACAGTCAGGAACAGGGATTATCAGCCACAGTGGATTGTATGCTCTTTACAGAAACACTGTGATGATCACATGCACATACATGCATGCACACACACTCAAATATACTCGTTAGCTTGGGAAACAAAAACACTAATATCATGGACCTAATTCACGGCCCAGTTTTGAAGCCATACTTCAACCTGCCATTCACCATGGCAATGTGGAGCCAAACAATAGCAGTATTTCCAGATATTCCTGATGTGAAACTTTTCATACATGGCCCCTCAGCACTGCTCTCTCTCTCTCTCTCTCTCTCTCTCTCTCTCTCTCTCTCTCTCTCTCTGTGTGTGTGTGTGGGGGGGGGGTCTGTGTGTGTCCTGGGGATGGATCCCATGGTCTCTCCTATGCTAGGCAACTGACCTACCACTGAGCTACATCACAGCCCAGTCTCTCAATATTGCTTTTGCTCCTAGTGGAAGTCTTAACTGAGACTAGCAGTTTCTGCTAGCCTCCTCTGTGTCATGTCCTGAGCTATCTGCCCACTCTGAGACATGAGGCCTGAAGGCCATTCATTCCCTCTTTTGTCTATGGCACTTGCCTCCTCCTGCCCAATCCTAAGTCCTCACCTTCTTCCATGAGCTTTTGGACCAGGATCCCCCACCCCTAATTCCAGGCAGCTTACAAGGTGTCAAGAACATAGTATTGTTCTTTTTTTAATTATTATTATTATATGGATGGGGCTGGAGAGATGTCTTAAGTCTTAATGGTGTTTGCTGCTCTTCCAGTTCCCAGCATCTACATCAGACTGCTCATAATTGCCTGTAACTCCAGCTCCAGGGTTATAACACCTTCTTCTTACTTCATTCTTATCCCTTTTGGAACTGCTGGTAGAGGAGACAGTCTGTTTGAGAAACTTTTGAAGGAATTCCCACACTAGCAGAAACATGGGGAGCATGGCCCTGGAGGCATTGGGAAATCCCAAGCCAAGACCTAGGGAGACCTCAATGTGAATAGAAGCAGGTTTAGTGTGGTGAGAGGCTCCAGACTGGGAGAGGAGAATCCCTTCTCTGATGCCCACCTCACCCTCTGCCACCAACATGAGCTTTCTTTGACTGGAGACTTCCATGTGACTATCACACTGCACAGAGCCACCCTTGACCTTTTGAGGCTCCACAGGGCATTCCCTCCCCATGTCTGCAGAAAACATACACAGAGAGGGTAAGTCACTTGCCTAAGGCCCCACAGCTGGGCTCAAATTCCCATCTCATTACCTGGTACCCCTTTTCTCCTCCCATCCTCAGACCTCAACAGTAGCGGGTGTTCATCCTCTGCCTTCTCCTTCCAGGCCATAGTCTGTGTGCCACCATGGAACTGGGGTTTCCAGAGGGCAGCTACCTGGAGCTCCTTAACAGCAATGCTGACCCCCTACACCTCTACCACTCCTTTGACCATATGGACCTGCCTAGGGAGGAGGAGACCGAGCTCAGCTCAGGTGGGCCTTGTTCCCCGGGGCCTCTTCTGGCCTTCTTCATCCCTCTGCAAGCTGAGAGACAGTGAGCAAGTGTCAGAACCAAGGACAGCTCCCAATCCTGGACAATCTTACTGGCCCTCCCCTGGAAACTGTCACCCTCCTTCCCCCACCATCCCTCTTCCCAGACTCCCAGTCTTCATCCTAGGGGCTTTCCCCTTCCAGAGCCGGACACAGACACCATCAACTGTGACCAGTTCAGCAAGCTGTTGCAAGACATAGAAGGGGATGAAGAGACCCGGGAGGCCTATGCCAACATTGGTAAGAAGGTGGTAGAGGCCAGAGAAAGGACAGAAAGGAAAAATTCTCCTTCACTGATCTCACTGGGTCATATTAAAAAATGGTATAAAAAAATCCCTCCCACCATAACTGTAGCTAGGGAGAGCAGCTAAGGCTGGAAAGGAAGGGCTGCAAGGAGGAAGGAAGGAGGGGAGGACTAAGAGAGATGACCACCAAGCCAATCACACCCTTTATAGCATTTCCCTTCCTTTCTTTCTGCTTTTTGTGTTATGTTTGTTTCATTTTACTTTTGAGACAGGGTCTTATCTAGCCTAGGATGGCCTGGAACTCACTATGTATCCCAGGCCAATCGCAAACTCATAGAAATCTTTAGGCCTCAGCCTCCCAAGTGTAGGGCCAATGGCATGCACCATATCCAGCTCTACACTTCCATTTCCATATTCTTTTCTGGCTTCTGCTCCTCTTTCCCACAAAGTCCACACCATACACCTTCCCCAGCATCTAAGCCAATGAGTCTGGCATTGCAGCAGCTGACACTGGCAGTTTGTTAATTGCTAGACTTCATGACCACACTGAGGCCTTGGAGCATTACATCAATGAAATCCATGATGTGAGAATCTGTTGATTATGGATGAGGAAATTGAGGTCGAGAGAGATGAAACAGCCTCAAGGTTGACTCAGATGGCCAGAAGCAGATCTGAAATCCACTGCCAAGGTTTCTGCACTTTCAAATCCTGACTTAAACATGAAAAAGAAATGCCTGAGATTGAGCAGGTTGATAAGGCATGCCTAGCTTTAAAAAAAGATTCAGGGTGAGCCGGGTAGCTCTGAAGGTTAATGGAACTTGCTACCAAACCCCATAACCTGAGTTTAAGCCCCAGACTCAGGTGGTGGGAGGAGAGAACCAACTCCTCCCAGGTGCCCTCTGACACATTCCATGACACTGGTGCATGTGAGTGCACTCACTGAAATATACATGCACACATACATGTGCAACACATATACATCATACACACATGCACACCACACATACATGCACACTACACACACAAATGCCCACCACACACTATATGCAACACACACATAAACATACACACCACATACACACATGCCCACCACACACATGCAGCACACAAACACACACGCACATGAACATACACACCACATACATCAACATCATACATACATGCGCACCACACACAAATGTGTGCCACACACAAATGTGTGCCACACACACATGCACACCACACACATACACACACATACACACACACACACACACACACAGAGGAACATACACACATGCATAATGAATTCCAGGCCATGCAAACGTCTTCCCACTAGCTCCAAGTCACATGCCATTTCATTTAATTTAACCATCATTTATGGGTTACCTACTGGGTACCATGTTGAATGCTCCAACATACTTCTAATCATTTCTGTCCATCTCTGTATAGTATATGCTATTTCTTCTCTTCATTCAGGTGAGGAAAACAGTAACCAGAGACATTAAGTAAATGGAGCTAGTGGAGAATAAAGACAGAGTTTGAACTCAACCCAATGCCATCATTACAACTCTGCTTTGAGCTGCTTTATAATGGTAGATGTGTGTTCATGGGCACAAAGTACTCATTTAATAAAACAAAAGTACATGAAAGGCAATGTTTCTTTGCTCATTCATTCAACTTACACTCAGCAACACTTATAGAGGCCTTACTGTGCACCAGGCCCAGAAGGTTGCAGCTCCTGGGTACACGGCCTGAGGCTTGATTCACAGTAGGACTTCCAGGAGACCTTTTGACTGACTGTGTGCTTCCTCCCCTGGCAGCGGAGCTGGATCAGTACGTGTTCCAGGACACCCAGCTGGAGGGCCTCAGCAAGGACCTCTTCAGTAAGTCGGGAGAGGCTGATCTTGGCTCAGCCTCAGTTTCTTCCTGACCTGAAGAAATGCCTGAGAGCCACACTTTCTCACTGTAGAGACAGTAGTGGCCTTACTGGGGGTTCTGTGATTGTAATGTGGGTCTCTGGTGTTTCTCCAAAGTAGAGCACATTGGAGCAGAGGAAGGCTTCAGTGAGAGCATGGAGGTCCCTGTAGAAGCAGGACAGAGGACCCAGAAGAGACGTGAGTGAGCCCCTCCTTGATCCAGCCTGGCCTTTCTCAGATCTAGTCCCTCCTTACCTCTGCAACCTACTGTGATCCCAGCTGCTTCCATTAAGTCTTATCTACCTCCCTACCACAACCCCCTACCTCTGCTTGGGGAGGAAACAAACAGCTCAAGAGCAAATGGCCCTCCTCCTGGAGGAGTCTATGTGTGCAGCTTTGGTTCCTGTTCCTCAGGGACTTTTGAGTCCTGCTTTCTCTTCCTTTCAGGTCTCTGAGGGAGATCTCTTTAAGCAATGGGTATGGCCTTAGCCAGGACTGGGTTGTAATACTGGATATGCTGTCTATGGGCTATGTGTTCTTGGCTAGGCACCTACATCTCTCTGAGCTTCCTGCTCTCTTGCCTCCTTAGTCTGTCCTCAACTGGTGGCCACTGATGCTTTGCCATGCAGATTAGGGCATCCCTGCCTTGCTGGTCCTCCAGATATGGTAGGATACATTCTAAGAGGCCTGGTGGGCTGTCCTTCTATCTCTTCTTGTGGCTCACCATGGAGAGACACTACTTTGGCTACACTCACTTTACCCCATGCTGCAGCCCATGCAGACTGCCCACACTGTTCCTCTTTTCCATAGTTAGGTCCTTCCTCTTTCCCCATAGTTAGGTCCTTTAAAGCCTGTAGCCTACCTCATCCAGGAAGCCCTCCCTGACCACACACCCACATAAAGTCACTGTCTAATTTATGTTTATTTTATTTTTTAATGTATTCATTGTGTGTGTGTGTGTGTGTGTTTTCCTGCATGCATGTCTGTGTACCACATGTGTGTGGGTACCTACAGAGGCCAGAAGAGGTTATAAGATACTCTAAGACTGGAGTTACAGATGGTTGTGAACTACCATGAGGGTTCTGAAAATTGAACTCAGGTCTTGTGGAAGAGCAGATGGCGCTCTGAGATATCTTTCCAGTCACTATACGTTTATCTTGTGTGTGTGTGTGTGTGTGTGTGTGTGTGTGTGTGTGTGTGTGTGCGCTGTAGGGATAAAACCCAGGTCTTTTGAATGCCAGGAAAACACTCTACATTAAACTGCACCCCCAGGCCTTGTATATTTATTTACTGGTGGGCATGTGAATCTGGTGTGTGCTGTATGTATAATTAGTGTGGTAAGCTTGGACAGTGGCAGAGCTTGCCTCCGGCCCATTCCTTCCTTTGCACTTCTCACTAAAGGCAACCTTGTAAAAACACTACTCACCTGCTCCATCCCACCACACAATCACACATATGAACATACACTTACATATATGCACAGCATATATACACACATGTACATGCACAAACACACAATCATGCATACACATACACATACACATATGCACACACTGTTTCACTCTACCCCTACAGTGTCTGAGAGGGCATTTCTAGATTGCTGCTGGAGAACACAGGGTCTTCAGAATGTTCCCACCCACTTCTCCTTTCCTCCCCTCCCTTTTCTGTTCTTCCTTCCTCTTTGAAATGTCTTATTACTGTGTGTGTGTGGGGGGTTGCACACATGCTACAGTGAGCTTGTCCACATCAGATAGCTTTCTGGAGTCAGTTCTCTCTTTCCACCTTTCCATGGTTCTGGGAGTTGAACTCAGTTCTCCTGGTTTGTATTACAAGTGCCCTACCCACTGAGTCACCTCACATACCCCTCCTGTCTCTTTCCTTCTTGTCCCCTGCTCTCCCTCCTCTTCCCTCCCTCTACCCTGAGCCAAGGTATGAGTCCCTCTGTGAGTGAGCATATCTCTTCCCTTCTTGGATTCCACAGTTAATATTGGAATCTATTTGTCTTGAGCTGCTCCACCCATTAGTAGCTTTTTTGATCTTCTTTTGGTGCCTTTCTAATAAATTACAGCCTATGGTTTCCTTTGGCTCATGCCTGCCAGTGCCCTGGCTCTGGCACATCTGGCCTAAGCTGAGTCCTTGGGTGCCACCTCCACAGTTGTATGGCTGTATGGACTTTTGCTGAGGGGCATGGTTTTTGCCACTTATCTGTTAAGACATGTTCTGCTTTCCACTTTAGTCTGCAAGTGGACATGATGTGCATGCAAGGTTATAGCATCCACAGAGGAAGAATTAAGGCTTTGGGGACAACCTGGGCAGAGCCCAGAGCAGTTGGCTCCAGTGGTTTTATAGCTTCAGCCTCATCTGATCTGTGGTTCTGTGGCTTTGCCTCTCCCTATTTTTCACCTGTCTGCCAAGATTCTTCTAGCTGAGACTTGACTTCAAGCACCAGAACTGGCCAGCATCCCGAGGAGTAGGGAAGAAGTGGGACACAGGTTCTAAAGTCTCCAGACAAGGCCACATGACCTGTTGGGAATCAAGAAATCACATGGTTGGGGACATCCAATCCTGGGCCACTGATCTAAGGCTTCTCTCTGCAGGCTCCCCAGAAGAGCACCCTATGGACCTAAAGCACAGGAAGCTTGGTGAGTTGGTCAGTGGTCTAGACAGCCCCATTTGGAGGAGCATAGGCCTCCTTAAATACAGCACAAGCCAGCGCTGAGCCCCAGGGATTGGGGTTGGGAGTAGTTCATGAGTAGAGTGTGTGCTTATTGTGGACAGGACCCTGGGTTGAATTTTAGCATCACAGAGGGATGGAAAAAGAAGGAGGAAATGGATGGAAGATGGGGGAAGAGAGAAAGGAAGAGAGGACGAAAAGAAGGGAAAGTGAGACACACACACACACAGAGAGAGAGAGAGAAAGAGAGAGAGAGAGAGAGAGAGAGAGAGAGAAAGAGAGAGAGAGGAAGAATGGAAGGAAGGGAATACGTAGCTCAGAGAGCTAAAGTCACCTGCCCAAGATCACGCAGCTATGAGAGAGTGAGTGGGTTACAAACTGAGATGACAATTCCTCAGCCTGCACTATGGTGGAAAACTTATCTCCACCCCCTAGCAGCCTCCATGAACCCCAAGATGATGGGGAGGTAGCTCAATCAAAAGAAAGCCCAAACAGGATGAGGAAGGCAGGACCCTTTCCATCTCACAGCCCTCCCATTCTGTAGAGGAGAGTGCTGTGCTCACCCTCAGGGGAGCAGGTAGTGCTGCCCCTGCCCTTCTTTGGACAGAACCTGAAGGCTGAGGGAAGTGCTGGGGAAGGTGGGAGGGGCTGGAGCTACAGGCCCTGTCATAGGTTTCTTCAGTCTGATTCTGGGGTTCCTAGGGAGGCCCCTGAGTCCAGCCACAAGGAAAGGATCAGCAGCTGGCCATCCCAGCTAGTTGGGGCCCAGAGGGGGACAGGCATTTTCCTCTAACTGCTAAGAGAGAGATCCTTACTGTCCTAGGAGGCACTCCAAATGCCCATCCAACTTCTAACCCACCCCTTCCCCACAGCTGAACCCTCTATGGTGCCCATGCTGACCGGGAGCTTCCTGATGGGGCCAGCAAGCCTCTCCACCATGCCCTACCTACCACCTGCTCTGTCCAATCAAAAGCCAGTGTCCAGCCATATACACCTAGAAGGAGCTACTCAGACATCTGGTATGTTGAGGACCTGGAGAAAATGTGTCCCCTCCCTTCTGGCAGTTCATTGAGGAATTAGCACCAGGAAGGGGCTACTAAAACAGGATGACCCATTAGGTCATCCCTTCCCACCCACACCCTGCTTGAAAGCACACCTGGCTCAGAAGTAAACATCCTGCGGGGGTGGGGTGGGGGGAAAGACGACAACGACACTTTCCTGACAGTCATGTTCACTTCTCACTCCTTCTTGTCTTTGTCAGCTACCCTGCTAGGCTCTAGGGACACCACCATGGGCAAGACAGGCTCAGCTGCTGCTCCTGGAGAAATGAAAGCCCTTGAGAGGGAGTTGAACATCCACCCCACATTACTAAACAGAAGTACAAAGATGGGTGTTGTGGACAGTCCCCCCTCACTGCCTCTGTCTCCTGCAGTGCCCCCCTCTAGGTCCTCACTGACCTGTTTGGATCTCCCCATTGGACACATCCAGCTCCTTCCCACTCTGCCCCAGGGACTTTGGCAAATCTCAGGGACTGGCACAGGGCTCCCCAGTGTTCTGATCTACCATGGTGAGTGTGCAAGCCAGCATTGCAACTGAGGGTCTCTCCTTCCTCCCTCCTCTTGACCTGTTCTCTCCCATTGCAGGCACTTGGAATTGTGACATAGAACCTATTCATGAATCCTCCCTCCCCAGAACACCTTTCTCTATCTTCATTTCCCCCAAAAGTCAAGGTGGTCTTCATGGGTGATCAGTCTTGCAGTCTTCTGAGTCACTATTTCCTCTCCCCTTAGGTTTTCCTCCTATAAAAAAAAGTTTCAAAAAAGATTTAATTTTAATTGTGTAGGCACACAGTTGAGAATGCATGACAGCAGCGACTGAAGAAGCTAGAGGTGACAGATCTCTCTGGAGTTGGAGTTACAGGTTGTTGTGAGCAGCCTCACATGGATGCTAGAAGCTAAACTCAGAGTCTCTGGGAAAGTAATGCATGCCTTTTGCCACTGAGCATCCCTCCAGCCCTTAAACAAACAAGCAAACACCCTCAGCTTCATTTTTAAACTCTGACATCAGTAACACACATTTTAAGCCAAACAACAAGAAACTCCAGAATTAGCTGTCTCCTTGCCTCTCTTCAGTGTTATGTGGACAGTCTTGTGTTGCACCCTTGTGCAGCTCTCTCTAATTTGCCTTTTCTTCCTGATCAGTTAAATGGTGCCTTTGATCCACCATATTGAGAAGCTTCCAAGGCATGCCTGGGCTCTCAGGGAACTATAGCTTCTGCTATAGTTCATAACCTCCTTTTATGATGGCATTACTGATATCTATCTGTACAAGACAATGGTGTCCCAGAAGCAAGGAAGTAACTTCTAACATCTAGGGAGCATGAGCTCTGACCGTACCATGGAATGCCAGGAAACGCCTGTCCTGGCACCCTGTGAGCTAGCTGTGTCTACTTCACTCATGGGAACGATGTAACTCAGGGTGCCCCCAGTTTCACCTTGAATTGTCTTCATTAGGGGGTTCCCTCTCTCTCAGACTCACTGAGATCTCACCTCATAAAAGCTCATTTATTCTGAAGCTGGTTATGAGTGACCACAGCCAGTAACACAGATTCATGGTGAACCTAATGCCACATTCCAACATGGAACAGCTAAATGAACTTTTAATAATAACTGAAAAAGTGAGTTATAAACCAGAGCAACTTTCAAATACCTTGGTAGAAACCTCAGGCAGGTTACAGCAAATTATGTATCTTTGCTAGGCTCCTCGGATTTGACCTGATGGCATTCTTAGCCTTTGATTTGGTGAAAATAGCATCTCCTGGTACACTGCCAAAAGGCTTTTCTACCTGAAGTCTTATGGATGTTAGATCAAACACAGAAGTGGGCAATTAATGTCTATGGGGGTAGGTGCTAAAGGCACCCCAAGACAGTTTGGCTCTGGACCTGAAACCTTTCAACTCTCCACAGCCATAGAAGGTTCTAGTCGGCCAGCTTTAACACAGATGCAGTGCCCCCACCCTGGGAAAAGTCAGTTCACATCCAGTGTGGTTGAAGTAGAGGTGACCCAGTGCACCCCTTTTTTCCTTCCGCATAGGTGAGATGTCCCAGGTCAATCAGGCAGTCCCTTCAGGCAGCCCTACTGTCTCCAGCCTCCCCAAATGCCCAGATCGGCCGTGCTCCACCAGCCCCTTTGCACCATCTGAGGCTGACCTGCCCAGCATGCCCGAACCTGCACTGACCTCCCGTATAAATGAGGCTGGTGAGCACTGGGCCCCTGAAAAAGGCCTTGGGAATGGAACCAGGGGCTTGGGGAAGGATATTTTTGACAATCATAGCTGCCTGAGGAGATGGGCAAGTCATTCTTGTGGGTGACTGGTCATGAGGGAGAGTGTGTGAGGGCTGGTGAAGCAGGGAGTGTGACTGAGGGTTGGGTGGCAGCTGGAACTTGTGTGTCCATCCAAGCAGAGCCACAAGCCACAGCCTCCTGTTGATTCTCAGGGTGTAAAAGCAGACCCGGCATGCTTGGGCCTTCTGTAGCTGGAAGCTTGCATCCCGTGTTTTTAATTTTGTTTTTTTTTTTGTTTTTGTTTTTGTTTGTTTGGAGACAGGGTCTTGCTGTATAGCCTCAGCTGGCCTGCAACTCAATCCGTGCCTATTAGATTGACTGTGAACTTTCAAAAATCCCCCTACCTCACCCCACCCCACCCTGGGCTGGGATTATAGATACTACAATGCCTGGCATGTTGCAATCTTTAAAACACTGCTTAAAAGATGTTTGTTTTTAAATACAGCTGGCTAAAATAAAGACCTCATATACAGTTTTGAGCTGCCTTCTTGCAACCTGGCCTTGGAGGCTCAGGCATGTGGCTCTGTCCTCTTGGTGCCTCCAATACTGACAGGAGACCTTGGGGACCCTCGAGACTCTAATTGACTTTTACTTTTCTATCCTCAGAGGACACAACATCCCCCTCCCCATGCCAAGAGGGTTCCGAGTCTTCCATCAAGCTCCCAAAATGGCCAGGTGAGCGACTGGAGCCCCTATGTCCTGGAGACCTGAAATGAAAGTTAAAATAGCACTTCATTCATTCAATGCTTTGTCAGCCCCTTGGCAGCTCACTTGCTCATTCATTCATTGTTTACTCACTAATTTATCACCCAGTTGATTTCCCCACTGGTGCAACATCTATTCGGCCACTCGAGCAATAGTACACAGGACGTAAGTCCCTGTTCCGGGGAGTCACCTGTGGGAACTGATCTCGAATTTGCAAGGGAGAGGATGAAAGACAGGAGAGTGAGTGGGTAGATTAAGGAAGTGTGGAGCAGTAGAAGAGAGGATATCAGGGGAAATGAGAGGAAGCTCAGCCACTGGATGTTCCTTCCAAGTGCTCTCCCAAGCTTTGCATTAACGCCTTCCCAGCCCCAGTTATCACCTCCATTTCACAGATGAACTAGCCTGAAGCATAGCAGGGCATGCAGATGTTCATGGCCACACAAATGGAGCAGCCAGGGTTTGAACTCAGACATATGGGCTCCCAAGTCTCAACTCCTTTTGTTGCTGTTGATGTTGTTTGATACAGAGTCTCACTATATAGCTCATATCCTTGAAATGACTGTAACTCATGCTGGGCTCAGAGTCACATTCCTACTGTCTCAGCCTCTCCATCACTAAGATTATAGTGTGTAATACCATGTCCACTGCCTTCATCTCCCTCCCTCTCTCCCTTGCTTTCCTTCTTTCTTCCTCTTCCTTCGTTCCTTCTCTCCCTCCCTCCCTCTCTCCCTCCCTCCCTCCCTCTCTCCCTCCCTCCCTCCCTCCTTCCTTTCTTTCTTCCTAAATGGCTGTGTAGCTGAGGAAAACATTGAACTTCTGACCTTCCTACCTCTACCTACCAATCCCTGGGATTATAGGCATGTACTATCACATTCCTGGTTTTGAAACCCAGGGTTTCACACTCACAAGGCAAGCACCCTACCAACAGCTAAGACCTTACCACTACAAGGTCTTTTCAAGAGCCTTAAATTACATTATTTATTCAGTGTGTGTGTGCATACGTGTGCATGTGTTTGCGCATAGTACACATGACAGAGGGCATGTTGCAGGAGTCTGTTTTCTCCTTCTACCACGAGGGCCCAGGGATGGAGCTCAGGTTTATAGGTTTAGCAGGAAGTAATGGCCCACTGAGCCATTTTATCAACTTTTTAAAACTTAATTTAAACTAGCATATATTTATTGTCAAAATGATGGGGTTCATTGTGACAATTTCATACATATATAATGTTTTGTTCTTATTCACACCCCTTATCATCTATTGCTCTGTTTCCCCTTGCCCAATGGTCTCCTTTCTTCCACTAAATACTCTTACTTCTATTTTCATTCTCTCTCTCTCTCTATATATATATATATATATATATGTGTGTGTGTGTGTGTATGTGTATATATATACATATATGTGTGTATATGTACATATATATCATATCTAGATATATGTATCTGTCTGTGTGTGTGCTTTCAAGCCCCACATACAAAAGGAAACATGTGATATATATCTTTCTGAGCCTGGCTCATCTCACTTAACATGATGAGTCCACAAACAACCAACTCCCCTTCCAAACCCCACAGGGACGAGTGGCCCAGCATAGTGAGTGACTGAAGGGGCTGAGAAGCAGCTCCATGGCAGAGCATGTGCCCCAACAAGCTTGACACTCTGGGTTTCATCCACAGTAAACACCCCCGTACACACACACACCACAGAGTAGCCAGATATAGTTGAATTTGAGGTCTACCTGGCCAACAAAGTAAGATTCTGAATCAAAAAGCTACAAAAAAAAAAAAAAAAAAAAAAAAAAAAGGGTTGGTAATGGAGCTCAGCTGGTGGATTTCTCGCTTAGCATGAATGGAGCTCTGGGTTCAACTCCCAGGACCACAGCACTCAGAAGGTGGACATAAGAAGTTCAAGGTCATCCTCGGCTACTTAGTAAGTTCAAGGGCAGTCTGATATGAGCCTCCATCACAACTAAATAGTTTAAAGGCAGAAATGAATGGATAAAGGAGAAAAATTAGTGGATGTGGATGAATGAATGAGCTAGCTGGTGGCTAGGAACTGTGAGCAGGAGATGGGACACTGAGGGGGACTCTGGCCACCCTCCCCTTCCCCAACCCCTACCCTGCTAACATACTCGGGTTCATCCTTGTCTGCTGTAGAGTCTGTGGAGCGGTTCCAGCACTCTCTGAAGGACAAGTACCTGGTGGAGCCAGAGAACTTGAGCTGTCCCCTGGTAGCCGTGGAGCTGGTGCGGGGCAGGTTGGAGAGAGGTAGCAACAAGAGCCAGGAAAGAGAGCTAGCCACTCCAGATTGGACAGAGCGCCAGCTAGCCCATGGTGGCCTGGCTGAGGTGCTTCAGGCTGTTGTCGATCGCCGGCGGCTGCGAGAGACACAGGTGGTTGCTGTGCTGGGCAAGGCCGGCCAAGGCAAGAGCCACTGGGCCCAGATGGTGAGTCAGGCCTGGGCCCGTGGCCAGTTGCCACAATATGACTTTGTCTTCTATGTCCCTTGTCACTGCTTGTATCATCCAGGGGACACCTTCCACCTGCAGGATCTGCTCTGTCCCCCAAGCCTGCAGCCACTGGTCATGGATGACGAGGTTTTAGGTCACATTGTGAGGCAACCACACCGGGTCCTGCTTATTCTAGATGCTTTTGAGGAGCTGGAGGCCCAAGATGGCCTCCTGCATGGACCTCTGCCCCCAGAGCCCTGCTCCTTCCGGGGACTGCTAGCGGGGCTTTTCCAGCGGAAGCTGCTGCGTGGCTGTACCCTGCTCCTCACAGCCCGTCCCCGGGGCCGCCTGACTCAGAGCCTGAGCAAGGCAGATGCTATCTTTGAGGTGCCCAGTTTCTCTACTAAACAGGCCCAGACTTACATGAGACATTACTTTGAAAACTCAGGGACAACAGGGGACAAAGACAAGGCCCTGGGACTCCTGGAAGGTCAACCTTTTCTCCTCACCCATAGTCACAGCCCTGCTCTGTGCAGGGCCGTGTGCCAGCTCTCCAAGGCCCTGCTAGAACAGGGCACAGAGACCCAGCTGCCTTGTACACTTACAGGACTCTATGTCGGTCTGCTAGGCCCTGCAATCCAAGACAGTCCTCCGGGGGCCTTAGCTGAGCTGGCCAAGCTGGCCTGGGAGCTGGGCCGTAAACACCAAAGCACCTTGCAAGAGACTAAGTTACTATCAGTTGAGGTGAAGACTTGGGCAGTGACCCAAGGCTTGGTGCAGCCCACCCTGGGCACCACAGAGACCCAGCTGGCCTTCTCCAGTTTTCTGCTACAGTGTTTCCTGGGTGCTGTGTGGCTGGCTCAGTGTAATGAAATCAGAGACAAGGAGCTGCCACAGTATCTGGCCTTGACACCAAGAAAGAAGAGACCCTATGACAACTGGCTGGAGGGTGTACCACGCTTTCTGACTGGATTGGTTTTCCAGCCTCAAGCCCACTGCCTGGGAGCTGTGGTGGAGCCTGCAGTGGCAGACAGAAAACGGAAGGTTCTTACCAGGTACCTGAAGCGCCTGCAGCTGCAGTCGCTGCGGGCTGGGCGACTGCTGGAGCTGCTGCATTGTGCCCATGAGACACAGGAACCTGGGATTTGGGAGCATGTGGCCCACCAGCTCCCGGGGCACCTCTCCTTCCTGGGCACCCGGCTCACACCACCAGATGTGCACATGCTGGGCAGGGCCCTGCAGACGGCAAGCCAGGACTTCTCCCTAGACCTTCGTCAGACTGGCATTGAGCCCTCTGGACTGGGGAACCTCGTGGGACTCAGCTGTGTCACCAGTTTCAGGTGTGAGCAGGAGATAGGGCAGGTGTGGACTATAGCTCTGGGGACCCCTGTTCCACAAGCACAACATCAGGGGGACAGAACAGTCCCTTCCAATTTTAAGATGATAATACTGAGGGTCAGAGAAGGTAATTGTTGCCACTAGCCACGAAGCCTGTAGGGGGAAGAGTGTCAATCTTCTAACCAATGTTTGAATACCTGCCATGTACCAGGCACTGGAACACATCTAGAATCTCAGTCTAGTCCAGATTGTTTCTGTCCTTCAGTTGCCACCGTTTTCTCATGGTTGAAAACATGGACCCCCTCTGTGTCTCTCTGCCCCCAGTCTTCTCTTTCTCACTGCTGTTTGTACTCAGGCAGTAGCACGACCTTCCCAGGCATGAATGAGCTCAGGCTTCAGTGGCGCTTGCAACCCTGGAAGGACACACTATAGTACTCAGGATGGGGTCTAAATTCATTCTTTGACTCATTCAAGTCCATTTTTCAGTTTGCTTGAGCATTTCAGGGATCTCTAGATAAACTTCCTCCCACATTCCTGCTAAACAGATTTTTGTCAAGTTAGAAGGTCTACCACAGGTGTGCCCAGAATTTAGCACTGAACTTCCTGGCAGCCAGACAAAAATTGTGCCTTTTCAAGAAAGATAAAACAATAAAGGCAGATGAGGTTCTGGGAGGTGGAGATCAAGCTGAGAAAGGGAAGGCTCTGAGAAGGTGGGAGGTCCCTTCCTGGAGCCACACCCCCATTGCTAACTAGCCTGGCAACTGTGCCTGAGTCTGAGGCCCTTCCTCCACAGGGCTGCCTTGAGTGACACAATGGTGCTATGGGAGTCCCTACGACAGCAGGGAGAGCCCCAGTTACTCCAGGCAGCAGAGGAGAAGTTCACCATTGAGCCATTCAAGGCCAAGTCCCCAAAGGACGTGGAAGACCTGGACCGCCTCGTTCAGACACAGAGGTGAGGAGGTGAGGGTTAGGAGGTGGCTCTGTCTGTCACATGCATGTCCTGTCCACAGAGCTGTCCAGTGTCCCTGCTCTCCACATGGCCACCCAGGCCCTCTGCTGCAGTTCCACCCAGGCAAGGACCCTGATTTTGCCCTTTGCTCCATTCCAAGCCTGACACCCTGTACCAGGTCCTTCACTAAAGACATCACCAGCCTGGGATTAACAAGGATCTCTTCAGCATCTGCCAGCTGAAGGGATCTGAGCAGCCCCTCAGGCAGCCCAGACCCATAACAGAGCCAAGGTGCAGAGGACAAAGAGTTGTTGCTGAGTACTGCTCTCTCTCTCCCTCCCTCCCCCTGTCCTTTCCCTTCCCCCTCTCTGGACATCACACATGCTATCCAAGTACTCTACCACTGAGCTACATCCCATATTTAGTTTTTACTTAGAGACAGGGTTTTACTAAGTTGTTTACTAAGCTGGCCTCGGATTGTATATGAAGTTGAAGCTGGCCTCCCATTTTTCATCCTCTTCCTTCATCCACTCAAATAGCTGGTAAAATAAGCTTATGCCACTCTGCCTGGCCCTAAAGTTGTTCTTTTTAATATTATTATTATTTATTTACATATACATGTGTGTATGTCTGCATGTGTGCATGTATCTGAGGTTAAGGCCATCCCCTGGAGCCAGGGTTACAATCAATTGTAAGCTGCCTGATGTGCTGGGAATTGAACTCTGGTCTTCTGCAATAACAGTACATGTTCTTAACCTCTGAGCTATCTCTCCAGCCCCCTGCCCCACTAAGGTTGTTCTTTTTTAAAGTGTTTTATTTTTTATTATATATGTTTATGTGTGTCTGAGTGCAGTGCCTGTGGAGGCCAGAAGAGATCAATGACCTCTCCCCCCCCCACACACACACACCCAGAGCTGGAATTTCAGGCAGTTAGGAACCAAGAGCAGAACAAACTCAACCACTAAGCTATCTCCCCACCCCCCAAAAACTTGTTTTTGTTTTTTTGTTTTTGTTTTTGTTTCCCAGTGGAGGGTCAACAACAGCTCCCAAGGAAGACAGCCCTGGGGGTGAAATGCGGACACTGGGGTTTACCTACACCTCTTACCCAAGCCCTTTCTCTGTAGGCTAAGAAACCCCTCGGAGGATGCAGCTCTGGATCTTCCTGCCATCCAGGACCTTAAGAAGTTAGAGTTTGCGTAAGTGAGGGGAGGGCGATTGCCTCAGTGACCCAAGGTTGTTTCTGGCTTCTTATCTGACCTTGAGCCAAGAGGCATGGTGAGCAGGAAGGGAAAACTGGATGATTCCTGCTCTCTCACTTACCACTGAGAAAACAGCTTCCACTTGCTGGGTGTGACCTGTCCGGGTGAAAGTAGGAGATGCTCAAAACAGCAGAGAACTGGCCCATTTTCAGGACAACACACACACACCCTCACACGCTCACATACTTATGTGTACACATATAACACATACTTGTACACACATACCTTACACACACACGTAGTCACATACACACATATAATACACTCACTTGCACACACTCATGCCTTACACATATACTCACACATACACACATATAACACACACTCACATGTACACTCAGACACACATACATGCAAAACATACACACACACACACACACACACATGAACACTTACACAGTAGCTCATGCTTATTCACTCATCAAAAAGCGCTTTGAGGAGCAGAGACTCCATGATGAACATGTCCCAGCAAGTTCCCTTGCAGGGTGGGCTGGGGACTTCCTGGAGAAGGTGACATCATCACAGAAACTTGAGAAATTGGGAATGAGCTTACAGGGATGGCAAGGATATCTTGAAGGATGTGTGCAACATGGAGTCAAGAGCCTAGTGTGCCCCAGATGACCATGACCTCACACAGAAGGGTGTCCCCAGGTGTCCTTTTCCTGCTGAGCTAGGAATTGCACCCTGCTCCTGTACCTGGGCTGATCACTCCCCTGGCCACATGGACTCCTCCAGGGGAATGCACAGCCTGGCCACTGCCCTCTGAACTCAGATGTCCTTACCACCTGCAGGGACAGGGCCCAGCCTGAGTGCTGAATGCTGAGTGCTGAGTGCTGTAGACTTACTAGGTTCCCTGTCTTATGCATGCTTAGACTGAATCCTGCCTCATACTTGCTTCTCTGGATCTTCCCTTAGTTAGAAGGATCCTTCTTGAGAAATTTGGGTATGTAATTCCAGCGAGTTAGGGTCCAGCTTGCCTAGGACTGGTCTGGTTGGGCACTGAGAGTTTTGCATACTTAGGAACCACTCCTTAGGAAACTGGGACAGTTGGTCCCCCAGCCTATACAGCCAGGCCTGGGCATTACCTTCCTGAGCAGTGCCACCAAGGTAGGAGGAACAGATGATAGGACACCGTAGGTTCTGTGGAATCTTAGGTATCTGGGTTATGATGGGGAGCTGTCCCCCAGAACATGGGCTATGAAGAGCCCTGGATATTGATTTAGGTCCGGCTGCCTAAACAGCTCTTCCCCACAATGCTGGGGATGGAGCCTGGGGCCTTGTACATACTAGACAAGCACTCTGCCATTAAGCTATATACCCCAAATCACTTTTTGCTTGTTTGTTTTACTTACTTATTTATTTATTTGTTATAGAGAGTTTCATGTATTCCAACTTGCTATATAGCCAAGCCAAGATGTATAACCTTGACCTTCTAAGCCTCCTGCCTTTACCTCCCAAATGCTGGGGTTATAGGCACACTCCAACACACAAACTTACGCAGCACAAAGAATAGAACCCAGGGCTTTTGTGTGTGCTAGACAAGCACTCTACCAATTCAGCTACATTCCCAGCCCATGTGTTTCTTATTTTGAAAAGAGGTTTTAATATTTAGCCCAGTCTAGCCTTGAACTTTTGCTCCCCTTTGCCTCAGCCCCGACAAGCATCCAGGATTTAATGACAATTTCCAACTGCAAAGCATTTTCACTCTGTTATCTAAGATATCAGGAGGAAGACACCAATGTCATCTCTCATTTACAAATGGGCATAATGAGATCTGAGAAATGGAGTGGTTTCTTCAAAGTCGTAAGCACCAGGTTAGCCTGCCTAGCTGACTAACAAGCTCTGTCAGTGTTTGGTCCTGTTAGAGAAGAGATCTGTCTAACCAGGTCTGGCAGCCCATGCCTGTAATGCTAGCTAGCCCCTGATAAGCTAAGGAGGGAAGATAACAAGTCCAAAGCCACTCAGGACTACACAGGAAAACCTTGTCTCAAAGATCCTCCGTGCCTTTTACATAAAGTCCCCCTCATGGGAATTGTTGCCCAGGAAGACAGACAAATTTGGAAACTGGAGCTAGGTGATGTTAGTGATTTGCCTACTGACAACCCACTTGCTGCCAGCTCCTCTGTACCCCACAGATAACCAAGTCCCTCTTGTTTTCAATAGGACATAAGATGCCAAATTTGTATAGAGGTAAAAATATTGCTGAAAAGAGGAAATGTCTGAAGACAGCCACGGGTGCTTTCTGGCTTTGAATTATTTTCAGCTTAAAAAGCCCCTCCCTGGAGGTCGGAACTGCGCTCTGGGTACCAGAGGCTGCAGAGTGGAACAGAGTAGAGCCAGACAACAGCCACCTACAGTCTGGAAGCCCTGAGACAGTTCTGAGGAAGAAAGGAAGGAAACAAAGGACTATTTTGGGCATCTAGTGCAACCACCTCCACATTCCCCACCCTGCAGGCCTCTTTAGCTGCCTGATCAGTCCAGATGAAAGCCCCCACATGTATGTGAGCTGAGGCTGGAGACATGGATCTCAGTTGCCAGCATACTTCCTAGCATACATAAAGCCCAGTCCAGTCCCCAGCTTGACCTACATGGCCTGATAGCGCTTGCTTGCTGTCCCCTCTGAAAGTACAAGCAGGAGAACCAGGGGCTTAAGGTCATCTTACTCAGCAAGTTGGAGGCCTAGGCTAGCAAGCTTATCAAAATAAAATAAAGTAAAATTAAATTAAATTTAAAAAGGCCCAGGTTCATCATCACCTCATCACCCCTTCTCCCTTATGTCCTTTCCATTTCGCCCTCAGTCCCTTCCTATCCTGTGCAACTTCTTCTGCCTTTCAGGCAGGATCTAAATGAGATCCAGTCCTAGGCCTTTGCTGTGGCTCGGCTCTGCCCTGAATGTTCTTCCTGACACAGCAGATCCACCCTGACCCTCACTTCCCTCTATTCATCTTCTTTTTAAAACTTACATTGTTTGTTTGCTTATATATTTAGGTATATGTGTGTCCATGCTTACCATGGTGTGCCTGTGCAGGCCAGAGGACACTTTGGAAGAGTTGGTTCTCTCTATCATGTCAGTCTTAGGGATCAAATTCAGGTTGCCTGCCTGAGTGCAGACTTCTTGACCCACTGACTGTGTATCTTAGGGTTCTGAAGCCCTTCCTGAACTTCCTCACCATGAGTTTGCCTGTAGCATTTCTTCTCTCTCAGTCCAGACCATGAGCTAATGGTTTCGATTATCTGTCTTTTCTCAATGCCAGCTCTATGAAAGTGGGAACTTCTGTGTGCTCAGGGCTTTCTTGCTTTACTCTGGTACCTGGCAGACAAGCAGTGAGATGGGGTGATGAAGAATGGAGTGATGATCATCTTTCTCTTTCTGACTGCCTCCTGCAATCAGGGCTAAGTACTGAAGGACCCAAGATCCAGAGGGGAAGGAAGGGATCACTAGGGCCCCCAGCACAAGGCTGAGCCCAGCTCTGATCTCTGGCCTTTCTCTAAAAGCTTGAGGTCACTGAGTCTGGGTCACAGACATGGAGGACATTCCAGAATGAATTTAAGTTAATCATGTATAGTAGTATTTTGATTTTCACTAACTATGTTCATTTAAACAAACAAATCTAAAGTGGTAGTGAACCTGTCACCTTAGTACTAAGGTACTCAGGGAGCTGAGGCAGGAGGTTGATGAGTTCAAAGCTAGCCTGGGCTTGAGGCAGAGAGAGAGAGCCTTATAAAGAATCATAAAATCCCCTATTGGTGTTGCCATAATTTTATCAAGCAATAGCTATTTCAAAAGAATTCACGCCAATGACACAAACGAGCTGGGCTCACACATCAGGAGGAAAAAAACCATTTCCTGCAGTGTCTTGATCCTTACATGTGTACCGTGACAGGAGCGTGCATGCATGTAATGGATAAATAAGCAAGCAGCCAGTTAATTAATTAACTAAACAAATATAGGTTCAGGGACTAGGGAGGCAGCTCAGAGGTTAAGAGTGCTTACTGCTTTTTCAGGGATCCAGTTCAGTTCCCACATCGTGTGCTCACCACAGGCTGTAACTCCAGCTCCAGTGACTCCAAAGTGTCCTGGCTGCTACAGCCACCTGCCCCCACTACACATATGTGACATGGAGTACACAGACCTTCACACCTACATACAAATAAATTCAGAGGTTCAAAAACTGCAATTTCAGGCTAAAATTCACTTTAATTTATATTTTTATAAATTTAGCTAAATTCTAGAATAAAGTCCTTTATACTAGATATATTTAGTCACTTTTTAGAAACCAAACCATGATCACTGTGCTGTCCTTATCTAATTGGTTCCCTTGAAATCTATTCAATCAGCTGTGTGAACTTGTGTGAGTTCCCTAACCTCTCTGTGCCTTCCTAATCTGTAAAGTGGAAGTAAGAAGACCCTCAGTTCGGAGCTGAGACAACAGGCTTAGCATGTGCCTAGTGCTGCCCAAGTGGTTCTCTCTTTCCGTTCTTGTGCTCTCTCTTTCTGAGACAGTGTCAAGCCCGCCTCACTTTCTCCTTAGCCAAGGAGCCTCCTGCCTCCATCTCCTAAGTAAGAACTCCACCAACTGGACTGTCTCCCCAGCCCCCACCTAATGGTTTTTGTGTTATTAAAAAGCAAAGAAATGGTCTGGAGAGACAGAGCTCAGTGATAAGATGCTTGCCTCACAAGTAGGAGGGCCTGAGTTTGGGTCCCCAGAAAAGCCTAGTGTGACAGCATGGGTCCTAGCACCATGGGAGAGAAGAATTTCCCAGTGTGCCGAATCAGGAAGTTGTTAAGTTTGGTGAGACCCTGTCTCAAAAAAAAAAAAAAAAAAAAAAAAAAAAAAAAAAAAAACAAAAACAAAGAAATTGCAAAATTGCATAAGAAGACGATAACCCTGACCTCTGACTTCTACATCTATGTACACGAACAAAGACACACACACAGGCACACACACACACACACACACACACACACACACACACACACACGGTATGGGTGGGACATAGATATTTAAAAATGTAAAAACAAGCAGGGCAGTGGTGCAGTGGTGGAGCACACCTTTAATCCCAGCAGAAGCAGGCAGATCTTTGAGTTCGAGGCCAGCCTGATCTACAGGGCAGCCAGGGCCACACAGAGAAACTCTGTCTCAAAAATATGTATGTGTATGTGTATGTGTATGTATATATATATATATGCATAGATACTTATGTATTGCAAAGACGGGTAATCTGGGAATAGACCTTGGCAGGCGTTGGGGAGAACATTACAGGGAAAGGTGAGTGTGTGTGGGCATTGGCAAGAATAAGAACTGGCTTGCTGCCAAAAGTGGAAGGGGAGTCCCAGCAGGTGCCTCGGTGGTCCTAAGTGGGGACACTGGAGCCCAGCTGGTAGAATAAGAAGCTGGGGAAGCAGAGGAGGGGCTTTCGGCCTGCACCCCACCGTGGCTGTTTCAGTATCTGACCTCTGCCATTGCTTCCTAGGTTGGGTCCGGTCCTGGGCCCCCAGGCTTTCCCCACACTGGTAAAGATCCTTCCGGAATTCTCGTCCCTGCAGCACCTAGAGTGAGTTACATACCCTGGGCCTCTCTCACCCCGCTCTCTGACAAGCCCTGGGCTCTCCTAACCCCATGCTTTGACAAGCCCAGACTTTTGTCTCCAGGTCACATGGGGAGTATTTCTCCTTGTTTCTTTTCCCCTCTGCTCCCCACTACTTTCTTCATGGGGGAACCATGTGGGGCACAAATGACCTCATTATGGGACTTGTGACCCCTAGTACAGGAAAGGGACAGAGGTCGGGAATCCCCAGGTTAAAAAAAAAGTTTGGAGTTCTTTTGCAAACTTTGAAATTCTTTTCCCCCACACAACCCCCTTCACTGCTCTTAGCAACCCCAAAAAGGGCAGCCAGGTGGGAGCAGGAAGTTGCTCAATAGTTAAGGTTCCAAAAGGTTAGGGTAGCTGACAAGTTCAAGGAACTCCTACAAAGACAAGCTGAGGTTCTAGTCCATGGTACTAGTCATGTCCCTGTCCAGCTGAAGGGCGCCCCCAGGTGGTGCAGGCCAGATCCCATAAAGTGAAGCTGGTGTGGTGTACTAGAGAGGACCAGGGCTGGAGGTTGTTGATCTGGGACCTGAGGGCCAATGACCACCATTTGATCCCACCTGCAGCCTGGACTCACTTAGTGAGAACAAGATCGGGGATGAGGGTGTGTTGAAGCTCTCAGCAACCTTTCCTCAGCTCAAGGTCCTGGAAACACTAAAGTGAGTACAATGGGCTTGCCTTCCCCTTCAGTATTCATCTTCTGCCCTCTACCCTGCCATTCACTCATTCTGTTCTGAGTCATTATTCATCCAATGATTATCCATGTAATCTTCTTCTGTGTGTGTGTGTGTGTGTGTGTGTGTGTGTGTGTGTGTGTGTTGTGTCCAGGGACCATCTCAGCAACACCACCCATGTCTTTTAAGACAGGGTCTCTCTGGCTTGGAACTTACCAGTTATGCCAGAGTTCCAAGTCTCCTCCTCACTCATGCTGGGATTACAAGCATGCACCATAATGCCTAGATTTCTATGCGGGTTCTGGAGGTCCTGCATGTCTTCATGCTTTCCAGACAAACACTTTACTGAGCTGTTTCTCCAGTCCTCATTTATTGAATTAGTGAACCAAGACTTAAAGAACCCTTGATATCACAGACAACAGTGGAAAAAAGGTCCTGCTCCCAGACCTCAGACATCTTCACACACAGTAAACCAGAAGCAAATAAATAAATAGATCATAATTATATTACAGTAAGCTGAGACAGTATGCTAACCATGAGTTTAAGGCCAGTCTAGAGGAAGTGGGGGAAGGCTGTCAGGGTGGCTTAGCCAGTGAACAGTCTGAGGTCCATCCTCAGGACCCACACAGTAGAAGAAAAAAATACTGACTCCTGCACATTGTTCTCTGATCCACACACACACTACAAAAGAGAAAGATGAAAATGTATTAAAATAAAACACACTGTAGTAAAAGTTTAATGAGTGAAAACTAATTGGGATGTTGGAAGGGAAGGGACTGATTAGGATTTAGCAGTAAAACATCTGGTGACTTTTTAGAAATATTTATTGTAACTGTTTCGGGCTTGGGAAGTTAAGGTAGAATGAGTATGCAGGGGACGGACATGGTTTCCCAATGAACCTGCATTGCAGTGCAGCCTTGAGCAGCTCAGTGGCACACACCTGGATCCCAGCACTGGAGACTGCAGCAGGAGCATCTTGAGTTTAAGGCCAGCCTGGGCTACATAATGATATTTTGCCTCAAAATAAAAATTTTAAAGGGACCAATAAGATGATGCAGAGGGTGAAGGCACCTCCAAGTTTTACACCTGGAGACCCGAGTTTGGTCTCCAGAACTCATGTAAAAGTGTGTCACTGCAAAAACACTGTTCCTATCCTGAAAGCAGTTAAGAGTTTATTTGGGAGACATTTTGAGTGACCAGTGCTCAGAAACTCAGATTTAGATTACGCCAAATAATGTGTTCTAACATGGAAGCAGTTCCATGAAGTTTTACAGAACAAAGTAAGTCATAAATTAAGGCAAGGTTAAAATAGGTTGGTGGGGCATGTGCGTGTGTGTGTGTGTGTGTGTGTGTGTGTGGTGTCACATTATACTGCATGTGCACACCTTTAATCCCAGCACTCGGGTGGATCTATGAGTTTGAGGCCAACCTGGTCTACAAAGTGAGTTCCAGGACAGCCAGAGCTGCACAGAGAAACCCGTCTCAAGACACAACACAACACAAGACAAACAAAAAAGTACATTGGTGGGTGCATCGAAAAGGAAAGTACATTAAGAGAAGGGAAGCTTTTCTATAGGCCCAAGATGTTGTCAGATACGAGTCTTAGGTTTTGGGTTGGTGGAGGCTAGTGGTCTGTTAAGTCAATAGATTCCAATAGGCTTCTATCTGTTCACCACAGGATGTTTGTTCTGACACAGAGTTGAGCAAGGAGTGGCTGCTCCCTCCCCCTCTGCATCATCCCAGCTCTAATCCATGGTCAGTCTTTGCAGACACAGCTTCTCTCCAGGAGTTCGAATGCACAGCTCCACAAAGCTGCCCTCTGCCATGTGTGCACTATGGCACAGCCCTCCACCCACACAACAAGAATGGTTTTAAATTTAAAAGCAGGGGGAACACAGCATAAGGACCTTCGTTCAATTCCCGCAACAAAACAAATGAAATAAAACTTCATGTTATAAACCAACTGAAGAAGCCTGAAATGTTCCCAACAATTCATGTGGCAATTTCACTATACACAGTGTAGATGTCCCCATACTTTACAGTGGTCTACGTATACCACAAGACAGCTTTCCCTCCCTCCTCTCTCCCATTTTCACCCTTCTATTCCTAGACATGTACATATTTATTGAGCACCTACTGTGTGTAGTTAGAGGGCTGGAAAACAGTCAGAGGGGAAAGGGTTACTATCAAATCAGAGAGCATGTAGAGGAGGGGAAGCACTCTTTCTCTGACATCCACCTCTCACCCCACCGCCCACCCTTCCTGTAACAAAACCTTATTTGTAAGTGGTTCCTGTGGGTCCATCCACAGGATCAGTGACCCTCCCCGAGGCTGGCTATCACAGGTCTGTGGCTACAGGCCACCTGTGAGGTAGTGCATTTCTAGCCTCATGATGGAGGCCAATGGGAAAGGGAGAGCCTTCCACTCCTGAACTGTTTCCTCCCTGTCCCTGCAGCCTGTCCCAGAACAGCATCACTGATGTGGGTGCCTGCAAGCTTGCAGAAGCCCTGCCGGCCCTAGCCAAGTCCCTCCTAAGGCTGAGGTGAGTGGGGTACCCCATTGAGTGGGCTGGTGAGATGGGGGACAAAAAGATGGTCCCCTCTTGCTGTCAGGAAAGTCTTTGTGCCACCAGGTTATTCATTGGCCTAGAATGAGTTGAATATCACTAGAATCTTGGGGCAAGTTGCTTACTTGTTCAAAGCCTCTATTTCTTCATCTGAATAATAAGAAATGTGTCAGTGGATCACATGTGATACTCTAGTCTGTCTCTAGTAGGCAGTGGATGGCTCCCTCTTACCCATCTACCCTCAGCATGAGAGCTGGACTGGAGCCCTGCAGTGCTGGCTTCTGAGCAGTCCATCACCCTTCCAGTCAGTGCTTACACTTCCACCTGCTGGTGAGCCTCAGTGTAGCAGCTCCAAGTTTTTAGCTGTCTTTGGTGAGGTACTAGAGATGGGACATGAGCTTGAACTAGTCATTCAGCTCAGCACTAGCAGCTCTTCACTAACCACCTGGGAAAGAATTCCTTCCCCCAAGTCATGTTCTAGGAAAGGCGACTTCTGTCCATCTCTACTGAGGCAGCAACTCCTACATCCTTCCAATCAGATCCTCTGTGCAGATGATAGGGCTATGCACTGCACAATTCATTGTGTATGCACTTGGTGCCAACTTAACACCCTAAAGTTGTGCTAAGTGCACATTATTCCCTATCTTAAACCATGGGATGTCCTTGATTTCCAGTTGCATACTAATACAGAGAGCACAAACATAAGGTATTTTAAGACAGTGATTTATTCTAGGAAGGGAATTGGCATGTCCCAGGAGAGTACAGTGAGAGCATCACCAGTTTATTTCCGAGAGCAGGGGTGTTGTGGCATGGTGAGACATGGCCCTGTGTGGGAAAATAGAGATGAGAAACTCTATAGGGCAGCAGGCACAATGGCCTCGAAGCAGGAAAGAGGATGGATTTCCAGGGGCAGAGGGCTCCTGAGGCGACTGAAGCTTCCTCGGGATGGAGGGATGGGAGGTCAGGAAAGTCCAGATTACACAGTCAGGTGCTTGTGGGCCAGGCAGGCTCACCAACTACTACTGTCACTGTCGCTAGATACCTAACAAGCCCAACGAAAGGAAGGAAGGGAGGGAGGGAGACTGGGAGGGAGGGAGGAAGTGTGAGGGTACAGTCCATCATGGTGGGGACACATGGTGGTCAAAGAGCAGAGAACAATGAATGGTGGCGCTGAGCTCACTTTCTCCTTTATAATTTTTTAAAATATTTTTTATTTTATGTGCACAGGGGTTAAATGTGTGTACATCTGTGAGCCAAATGCAGCAGTACCTGCTGAGACCAGAAGAGGGTATCAAATCTCCTTGGATTGGAGTTACAGATGACTTATGGCTATCTTGTAACACAAAATACATTCATTCCAACTTCAAAGTCGCCAGAGTCTTAGCAGTTTCCAGGTTTTCTCCTTCCCGTGGCCAACACAGGCCACCCTTTCTGTGTTGTCTCATGTGGCCCTCAGTGGTTTCTGTGAATGTGTCACACTGTGAGACCCTGCTTAACATTTAGTCCACTGCATACACCTTGCATACACCTGCAAGAACCCACCTGCTCTCCCTACAGTACCCCTGGGTACTGGGTACCCCTCCCATCCATTCTACAAATGAACAAGAGCATGGGTAGGGGAATCAAGTGAATTGCCCAGAGAGAATGAAGCATGACTTTGAACCTGGAAATGTTCTCCTTGGATTTTCCAAATACTTTGGTCTGGGAAACACCTCTTCCCCTCTCCTCCTGTCCTCCTCTCTTCTCTCATCTCTCTCTCCTTTTCTTTCCCCCTCTTTCCTCTCTCTCCCTCTCTGCTTGCTCCCCGTGTGTGTGTGTGTGTGTGTGTGTGTGTGTGTGTGTGTGTGTGTGTGTGTGTGTGTGTGTGTTACTGGGGATGGAGTCCAGAGCTACTTCATGTATACCAGATAAGCACTCTATACTGACCTTTAACCCTGGCCTTCTTTTTAACTTTCTATTTGAGGGGTTACAGTTAAGGGCACTAGCTGCAAAGGACCTGGGTTCAATTTCTAGCTCCCACATGTGGCTCACAACCATCTGTATGTAACTCCAGTCCCAGGGATCCCTTGCCCTCTTCTGGCCTCCTCAGGTACTGCACACATGAAGGCATACATCATCAGCATCAGCATCAGCATCACCATCACCATCATTATAAAAAGAGAAACCAACCTTTTTATTTTGAGACAGGGTATCATGTATCCCAGGTGGGCCTGAACTTGTAATCCCTCTGTCTCAGTTTCCTAAGTAGCTAGAATTACCTAAACCATCAAGCAGTGTACAACTTCTTGTCCATGCCTTAGTTTCTTGAACTTACCATGGAACTATAGATAAGTGGCCTCACCTCTCTGGGCCTCAGTTAGTCCAAATGGGACAGTAGGGCCTGCCTGCTAGTGTGGCTCAGTTGTCTGAGTGCTTACCTAGCATGTATAAGGCCCTGGATTCATTCCATCCCCAGCACTGCATAAACTGGGGTGATGTCAATCCTAGTGGTCAGAAGGTGGAGGCAGGAGAATCAGGAATTCAAAGTCACCTCTGACAGCTTGGAGATACATGCGACTTTGTAGACAGACAGGCAGGCAGGCAGGCAGGTAAAAATGGAGTAGTTATGGGTATGGATATGGGTATGGATCCCACCTGGCCTCAGGCTGGCACAGCACCCCAAGCCCTCTTTGTTCCTCTGTTGCCGGCAGCTTGTACAATAACTGCATCTGTGACGCAGGAGCCAAGAGCCTGGCACAAGTGCTTCCAGACATGGTGTCTCTGCGGGTGATGGAGTGAGTGTGGGCTCAGTTGTACCTGGGGCAGAGGGTCTCCCACCTGCATCGTGGGGAGGGTTGGGATGGGAGCAGCCAGGCCTCAGGATTGGCCTCTCTCTTCAGTGTCCAGTTCAACAAGTTCACAGCTGCCGGTGCCCAGCAGCTGGCCTCCAGCCTTCAGAAGTGTCCTCAAGTGGAAACGCTGGCGTAAGTAGCATTGCCCCTGGGGTTGGAGATCTGTGTGTGAGTCTAGAATTCAAATCCAACCCCTGTCCAGCAGTGTGTGAGCCTGGGCTGGCAGGTGATTTGTCCTGCGGGTCTTAGTATGTTCATCTCTGGAAGGGTGTGATATCTACAGAGAAGACTTGAGATGGTCATGTTAGTCAAGATAGAGAAAGAAGTTTTTGTGGGTTAGGGTCTCGTGTTGCCCAAGTCGGCCTGTAATTCTATATGTAGCCAAGGATGACCCTCTTGCCTCTATCTCCCAAGTGCTGAAATTAAAGCATGCTCTGCCTATCTAATCCCACGTGGCAATGATGTGTGCTAGTCAAGGGGCCCAACCCCGAGCCATTTCCCCAGCCTTAAACTTTTGGGACACTGTTGCCACATAAAACATTCAATAAATATTTCATCTGGGTGAACCATATGAAATTGCCTAATTCAATCATTCTTGGAACAAAAAAAAATAACAATTTCATATAGTTAGACCCATTTTTTACTTGTTTTTGAAGCAGAATTGAACTTGAACTCATGATCCTCCTGCCTCAGTCTCCTGAGTGCTGGTCCTATAGACGTTATGTGCTGTGCCCAGATTTAAACTTATTCTTATTAAGTCACTGTGATGTCTGATGTCCAGGCCCCTTTGCTCTTCAGATGGCTTTGATCTGCACAGGTGTGCCTGTCTTCTCAGATAGATAATGGAATCTCTAGATTCCTTTCTCATTGTGACCATAACTCCTTGCAGAAGCAATGAAAAGGGGGAAAGGTGCATTTGGGCTCAGTCTCACAGGGTGCTGTCCACTGTGGTGGGAAGTTGCTTGCAGGAGTTTGTGTCTGCAGCTGCTCACATACTGGCAGGGAGCAGATAGCTGCAGGAAGAGGCCTGGCTATTGCCTTCAAAGGTCCACCCACAGTGACCTACTTCTGCCAAGCTGCACCTCCTGAAGATTCACAGCCTTCAAACTAGTGTCCCAGTCCGGGGGTGGGGGGGCATTTAAAATGTGAGCCTGTGGGGGACAGAGAATAGTGAAACCACAATAGGATCCACTTTACAGCTAAAGAGAATAAGGTCACACAGCATGTCAGGATGGAAAGGGAGACTCCTAGCATCCTATTAACCCATGCTGCCAGGTGGGGTGTAGTGGGAGGGTGGGGCTGTGGGTAGCTTGTTCTGGGGTATCCTGGCTGCCTTCCCTCTAACCTGACACTGGGGTCCCATGTCCCCTCTACAGAATGTGGACACCCACTATCCCCTTTGGGGTTCAGGAACACTTGCAGCAGCTGGATGCCCGGATCAGCCTGAGATGACCCTGCTGTGCCCTGGACAAGGTAACCGTATTGGAACTACAGAAGGGAGAACTACAGGAATATCTGGGTCAGTGTCCTTGTGGGGTGGGGCCAAGGGCATCAAGCAAAGCTGGTTGGGTGTCTGGATCCATGTGCCATCTGGAGCTATACTGTCTCCAAATTGGCAGGTGTCCTCCAGACTTTGGGGACTTGGGCCAAGGAACCTCCCTGAGGTCAGGCTTAAGGACTGGGGACAGACAGGCTAAGCCAGTCACCTATAATCCCCATCTTGGTATTAGGAAGTCCTTCTTTTGAAACTTTCAGTCTTTCTTGTTGCTGTTTCTCTTGGGTTTATCTTCATAGGAAATTAATACATTTTCTGCCAGCAACATGAAGTCATTGTTCCCTTGTGTCTGACACTCTCTCCCGTGACCTGTGCTGCAGTTGCCCTCCATCCCCTCTTCTGCTATCAAGGCTGCTCCTGGGGCAGCTCACTGACTCACCTGTGTCTCTTGATACCCCAACAGCATGTGCTCTGGGACACTGACCACACTGGACCTTGTACTGGGTACTGTGCACTCAGCTCTTCTGTGGGCCATAGGCCATGAGTCGACCTCCAGTCACCCTGCCCCTGCAGGCTCAGAGTTGGACTCTGCCTAGATGAGGAGTGGACATATGTCTTGGTCTTCTACAGGCCCCACGAGCAGCTGCAGGCTTTTACAGAGCCAGGTAGGAAGCCAGCCCTTCAGTGACTGTGAGCCCTGGCAGATGGGCCTGGAGCTGCCTTCAGTGGGTTCACCAGGAGGCAGAGGGCCTTCTCTTTGACAGGCCAGGCCAGCATGAGGAACTGAAATAGCCAAGCGCCTACCTGACAAGGCCAGGGCCAGCCTGGTGAGAAGGTACTTCTTCCCTGCCACTCCGACAGGGACTGCTGGGCGCTCTGAAGACACTAGGGTGGCTCTGGCCTGCAGACTTCTAAATGGGACAGGGAATCTTTGGCAGCTCTTTCTACTTGTGGCTCTGTTTCCACAAACTTTCAGTCAAGGCTGAGTCAGGCCTGGCTGAGACCATGGACATGAACCAAGAGCCAGGCAGTGGTAGACTACAGAACAGGAAGGCTGCAGCTGGGGAGCTGCTCTGCCTTCTCCACACACTCACTACATTTTAAATGCATCAGCTACTTTCACTGAGGCTCTGGGGTTTGGTTAATCCCACAAATTCCATCTGGGGATACCTTCTATTCTAGTTATCTAATGCAAAAGAAACCACCCAAACCACAATAACTTAAAACAGCCCATACTTCTATTCTGCCCTGACCCCTGCCATTTGGGCAGGCTCAGAAAAGATGGCTCGCCTGCCACCAACCCTCTGAGTCAATTGGGGCAGCTAGAAGCTGGGCTGGAATCATCTGAAGGCTTTTTCACTCATATCTGCCATATGACATGAGTCGCTGGCTGGGAGCCCTGAGTTCTTAATGGGACAGCTGGCTGGGGACTTCTCCAAGGGGATCTGGTTTGCCTTTCTCCTAGCACTGTGTTTGTATTATAGGGTGACTACTCAGTGAGGAGACACAGGCCAGCAAGACTGTGCTCTGCTCATCACAGCCCCTGAGGCAGCATAGCATTGTGTCCACCACACCCTGAAGCGCAGAGCATGCCCTGAGCCTATGTGCACACCAGACAGTCCAGCTCTGCCCAGGTCCTGCATCTTCTGTAAGGATCTTTGTAACTTCTAAGATTCAGTGAAAAGCTATTATTCACAGGTCTGAGGGCTGAAGCAGTGACCACTGTACAAGGGAAGTGTTCTCTTCTACTGCCCTGCTGCATCCTGGGAGCAGTTCTGCAGCCAAGTATTTTGGCCTTAGCTGCAGCTAGGCAAAAGGGGCAGGCAGCACCAGTACTGCTGTTCTTGTTTCCCCTGGGGCACCACCTTTGAGGTCAGGCACCATTGATCCCTCCATCAGGACAGTGACAGCTTGCTTTCTTGCCTTGGCACAGGGAGCACCTGTATGGCTCCAGCATGCCAGCCCTGATGCCAATAGGACTGGCCCACATCCCAGTAAGTGGGAACTGGGCTAGAGGGGGCTATCTGCAGGGCTGCTTGGGGGGGGGACTCTTGGACACAGGTTCAACTGCCAAGGGTATCTGTGCTGCGGCATCAGGCTCAGGGGTGGCACATGGAAGTCCCATGTGTATGGTCACAGGGGACAGCACGGAGGCATGCTCCAAGTCAGGTATCTGCTGCACCTGCCCGTGTCTCTGCCATTGGTCTGTCTGGAGATGTCAAAAGTATCTTTCCTTACTCTGCTGAGGGCTGTCACTCATTAATGGGTTGGTTATGTAAGGCACTCAGTAGAGTGTAGAGACACAGTAAATACTCAACAAACCTCACCAGTCCTGGATCCTGTATGCTGGGCAGCACCTTAAACCCTCTGGCTCCTAAAGAGAGGTAGTGTAGGACTTTATGACATCGAACTCTTGGCTGAGCTGCCTGGTCTCATGCCCCATCTCACCCTATATGCAGGCAAGTGTCTTCTGTGCCTTAGCCTCTCCATCTGTAAAATCGGCAGAGCCATAGAATCCTCTTCACTGGATTATGTAAAGACTCAATGTGGAAACAAAAATATTAATAAAATGTCAGCAAAATGGCTTAGTGGGTAAAGCAAGCCCAACAATCTGAGCTTAATTCCAAGGACATGTTGTTTTCTGAAAATTTCTGTACACCATGTGTATATTGGAGCTACAAGTTGTTGTGGGCCTTCATGTTGGTGCTAGGAACACAGCTCAGGCCCCCACAAAGGTAGTATGCACTCTTAATCACTGAGCCATCTCTCCAGTCCACAAAGTAAAAAATAAATAAAAATTAAAAACAAAAAATATTTAACAATTTAAGAGTGGTTTAAGAGTGGAAAGGGTTCTGATGCTCTTTTCTGGACTCAATGAGCACTGCATACACTTGGTGCACATAAATATACACAGGCAAAACACTCATAATATAAATAAATCTTGAAAATCCCAGCACTTGGAAAGTAGGAGCAGGAGGATCTCTGTGAGTTCAAGGCCAGCCTAGTCTATATTGTGAAGGCTGGGTCTTAACAAATCCCTAGCACCCAGCTTAGTGCAGGGGCTCTCATCCTTCCTTCCACCCTGTATTTCATTCCTGTTTCCAGCTGGCATGTTCTACCCTGACCTGTGTGTGACTTCCTATAGGACTCCATGGTTCCTTGGGCAGATTATCTGTCTCTCGTCCCTCTTCATCCCACTCTCCAATTCCACCTCAATATTATCTTTTTGCTGCCTGCATGGCTAGGATGTGAGACCTGGAGGAGCAAGGGGTTTGTCTGCCTCAATCACCCCCTGCCCTCTTACACCCATTCAGGTGCCTGTACATTGTAGGTGTTCAGTAAGGGGCAGATGGATGACCAATCCTCAGCTCACTTAGTCATTGCATAACTGTGCACTGAGGACACACAGGGGAATGAGGCTCCTGTGCTGGTAGTCTTGCATCTTAGCAAATTTAAGACACCTCCTGGACAGAGCAGCCAGGTGTGTCTGGCCAGGCTGTGCACTGCACAAAGGTTCCTGGACAGTGGACACATGAGGGTTGCCTAGTGGAGCCTGGAGTGGAATTGCATCAGCATAGAAGAGAAGCTCTTGGTAAGTAGCATGCTGACACCTCAAAAGTTGGATAAGCTGTGGTTACTTGGCTAGAATAGGAGGCTGTCAACCCCACTTGTGATTCGAGAAGCAGTTCTGGGGAAATCAGCAGGCACATGCAATATACTTTCAGTCCTAGCCCCTCTTCAGCCCTCCACTTCCCTCCAGGCCACTCTCTCAGGGAGTATGTCTCTCTTCCTGTTGTATATGACTGATCTCAGAGCCAAAAAATTGCCATCTTGAGGAATTCAGCTGCACCCCATTGCAAAAGGATTATCTCATCATGGAGAGTTACATGGCGCATCACAGGATCCTCCCATGAGTATCCAATCACTCCCATTTGTTGTATGCAATGCTACCCTAATTGCATATGGCTTCAGGGAGGGGCTAGAGCTATACTCTAGACTAGAGAAGTCTGGGGAAGAAGGCTCCATTTTTATATGGGTTTTGGAGACAGGGTCCAATGTAGTCCAGGATGAACCTTGAACTTCTGAACTTCTTGCTTTCATTTTATAATTTCTCATTCTTTTGTCTCTGCCTCTGGAATGCTGGGATTATAGGTACATAAACACTGTGCCTCTTTTATGTGCTGTTGGGGTTCAGGGTTTTGTACAAACCAGGTAAAGATTCTATCAAGTGAATTCCCAGCCTCTTTCCCATTCTTTATTTTTTTAAGGTAAAGTCTCACTGTGTAGCCCTGGCTGGCTTGGAACATACTTTTTTAAACCTGGTTAGACTGTAATTCATAGATCTATATCTACCTCTTCTGCTTCCTGGATGCTGGGATCAAATGTGTCCACCACTACATCCAGTCCCTTCCTTGTTGTTCATGGAGGTGTACGATATGCTCTGTGTGTGGGACTCAGGCCCGAATTCTCTAGGGCACCCTATCCCCTCCCCTCCCATCATAACTCAGGCTTTCAGTAGGTGGGAGGAGGCTGCCTCTCTAAAGTGAATTCCCTATCCCTGTTGCTCTTCCAGATTGGACCATCTGACTTTTTTGGCAAATTGTCAGCCATAATACCCCCTTTCCAAAATTCAAAACAAACAACAAAAAACAGCAACCAGGGCCAGGTGGTGGTGGTGCAAGCCTTTAATCCCAGCACTCGGTAGGCAGAAGCAGGCGGATCTCTGTGACCAGCCTGGTCTACAGAGCGAGTGCCAGGATCAGCTCTAAAGCTACACAGAGAAACCTGTCCCGGAAAACCAACCAACCAACCAACCAACCAACCAACCAAAAAACAAAACAACTACAAACAAACAAACAAACAAAAAAACACCCAGCAACCAAACAAGGACAAGAGACAAGAGGGGTTGGAGTTCCGAGTTGCTTACATTTTTTTTTTTTTTTTTAATGAAATAAGTCAGCCTCTAAGTATTGCTTTTACAGGTTTATGGAAATCAAGTATCTACATCACTCACACTTTCTATACCACTCACACTTCCAAAAATAGACTTCTAGCCAGAGACAGCCTTCCCCAGTGGCATCTCAGTTCTGTCAACCTGGAGAGGCTAACCCCCACCCTGGGCCTTGGCACATCCCTCTTCAGAGTGACTCCCTAAAACTGTGATCAACAGTTTTGGGGATGAAGCCACCCAGACTTAAGGCTCAAATGCATCAAATGACGCCGGAGGGGGTGGCCTACGTATGAGTCTGTTTGCATCCCACTTCAGCTCTCTGTGTCCTTTCCAGAGGTTAAGTGGGGGAGGCAGGTGCAGTTGGGGGTGAAGTGCAGAGAGGTGACCTCTGGCTGGATTCCTGTAAACATCCATCACAAAGGCGGAGAGTTACAAGCCAGATCCAGGACATCTGAGAACTGGGTGGTAGGTGAGGTCTTTGGAGCCCTTCTCCTTCCTGTAGGGCCTGGCAACTGTACCATCTTGGCACTGGGTCCCCACCTCTCCTGGCACACTCCTGGGCTGGGGCAGGAACCTGGTTGTTGGCACGAGCAGACCTAACCAAGAAGACAAAGAACAGTCATCAACACAGGCCACTGCACCACTGGCCTGGGAGTGCCTCCTGGCAATTGGGTGGGGCAAGGATGCCTTGCTCTGATCCTTAAGGTCTAGTACTCCCCAGAAGCCCCATGCTCAGGCTAAAGATGCTTTTTCCTCTCTCTTTGCTGAGCAAGCAGTCTACCAACTGAACTAGCCTCCCTATAGCTTTTATCCCAAGTTCTTCTTAGTGAATTTGTTTCCCTTCTGAGATCCTGGGGAACCAGAGTAGTTTTCCATGGGAGAGGAGGGCTGTTCAAGTGATCAGGAGAGGAAGAGAGATGGTAGGGCTGGAGGAGGAGCTCAGCCATGCGAGAGGTCAAGAAGGAGCAGCTGAGCAAGCTCCAGGGAGTGGCCAGTGCCTCCCATCTCACCCAGGAGGCACCATGATTACAGGAAGGGTCACTCTATGCAGCTTGTCAACTCTGTATCCTCACTTGCTTCCTCTTCCCATGATACAACATCACTTTTAAGTTCTGTCCCTGTGGCAGGTTCTTTCCTCCAGTCCCTTCAATCCCATGTTTAGCTGTCACCAGCATCTCTCCAATGGTGAGGTGCCCAAGTCCCTGTCCTTTTAGCCCCCTCAGATTCTTCCCTCTACAAACACTACTGATCATCAGATGGAATGATCACTGTATGTGAAACATGCAGTGCGTACTGCTGGATAGCATCCAGGTTATGTGAGGCTACCACGGGCATCACATATTTAGCAGTAGCCCTGGCTCCCAACCAGCTAAAGTTGGTAGCACCTCCAGTCACCATGGCTATTAAAATTGTTGCCCACCTATAACCATTTCTAGCAGGAACTGTGCCTCTCCCCATTTTATAGGTTGCAAAACAGAGGCTCAAAGAAGCAGGGTGAGTTGCTTGCAGTTGCACAATCAGGGCAGGCAGAGCTGGCATGTACTGGTAACAAATGGGGACAACCACAATCTGGGTGCCACTACACCTGGCACTCCTGTCATGCGACTTGCTCCTTCCTTCCACCTCCCTTCCCCAGTCCTGGGTACCTTGTCCTACTTCAAGAGAATGGCTGGTCCCAGCTGCAAGAACAGGATTGCTAATGTCTTCCACAGCAAACTGCTTCTTACCAGAGACTGCTAACACTCCAACCCCCTCACTGGTACCTGGGGCAACATGAGGCATGTCCTATGCCCACTCTGGCTCCTGGGGCTTCTGAGCAGGATTGAGTCCCAGACTACAATGGTAGCCTGTTCAGTGCCAACCAGTTCCACCTTGCTGACCTCACTTCCCACTCTCCACTTGGAGTTCCTGAGATCTCCATCCTCTTTACCAGCCTACGGCAGATAAAGACATCAAGACTCAGAAGGCATAAGATACTTGTTGAAAGATGCTTAGCTTAGAAGTACTGAAATCTGCCCAGGTGTGGTGCCCTGGCCCTGTGATTCCTGCATTAGGAAGCTAAGACCAAAGAATGGCAGGTTAGAGGCCAGGCTGGGCAACAGAGCAAGGAGAGTGAATTTGAAGCCAGGCCATCTGGTATAAGCCAACGATGGGACAAGGCTGTGGGCATGGATGGAGGTCCACACAAGGCTGTGCTCACAGAAATGGCACCCATGGGGAGACTGGGCTTAGCTGTCTCCTCAGTTTTGAACGGGTTAAGAGTGGAAGTTTCTCCCATCCTCTGCCAGACTCATCTACTAAAAGTCAACTGAGGACATACTCTACCATGGCTCAGGAACCTTCCCTAGTTTCCGCTGACTGCCCACAGGCAGGCCCTCCACCCCACTGCCCCCCCCCCCACCTGCCCACAGAATGTGTGGTAAGCTACATAGGACCTTCCAGAAAGACTTTTTGAGGCTCTTGTCCCATCACACCAGAGCCCACTTGTAGCTGTTGTTCCAGTTTCTTCCCTTCAAGGAACCCTGGGGGAGACATGATGTTGTTGAAAGTCTTCACATTCAGGAGCCTGAAATGTAGTAATTTACTGAGATTCACCCTCCTGGACACCAACTACAGGCATGCCCCAGCCAGCCAGGAGCCACCAAAGGGCCTCACTCCCTGCCAGTCCTCGTGACTACACACAGTCTCAGCAGCTGCTGGCCTGACTGACCCTGCTGGCCCACACCTTACCATAGGTTTTAGTGGACACTGCTGACTCCCAGGACACCTGCTGAGTCTCTTAGCTACAGCCAATGATGACAGGTTCCTGCTTACACAAGTTCTCCTCCTTTCAAAGCATTTTTTATCTCTTAAAAGCCAATTTAAGGACTGGAGAGATGGTTCAGTGGCTAAAAACACTTGCTATTCTTGAAGGGCTCCCAGGTTCTGTTCCCAGAACCCACATGGTGTTCACAACTGCCTAACATCAGTTCCAGAGAATCAGCCTTCTTGGCTATGGCTTCTCTTACCGATGGCCTTCTGGAACCCCACTGTGCACCTGTTTCTCCACATACCTGGGTGCGGACACCCAGGATCTCCGTGCTGGAGGCAGACTGTGCAGCAGGAGACCATCTGGCTCATGGCCAAGGGTGTGGTAGTAACCTGGCCACCTCCCTGATAGCTGAAAGGACAGAAGAGGAGAGTAGCTTCCTGTCTCCACACAGGTCAGTCCCTGCTGAGAGGCAGCTTCTTGGGCCTGAATTCCAACTCCATGTTGGCTGTGAGTGCTTACCACAATGGACCAGAATCTACAGTATGTCTGCAGCTGTTCCTGACTCCCCTTTATTTGCCTGCCCAACAGTTCCTACGGCTTGTCACACATCACCTGGACATTACCTATTTAGACAGTCTGAGTATCTAGAATATCTCTTCCCCAGGCCCCTGTGCACTGGGATTACTGACATGTACCACCACAACTAGAAGTGTCAGGGGAAATGTTTATGTCATGACTATGGGGAAGAACAGCACTGTCATAACAAAGGTAACGTGGTAATGCTAGAGAGGCAGAGAAGGGGAAGCTGGCCATCTGCCTCTGTGCCTGGAGCAGAGAAAGGGGAAAGCAGCAAGGCCAAGGCATCATGAGCCTGGCTCTCCTCTGGTACCTTCCAGGGAGTCTTCCAGCCCAGCACCTCACTTCAGAAACTGGGCAAGTGGGAATGGCTGGAGGACCCATGCGTTCCCTAATAGCTGGGCATCTAAGGTGAGTCATCACACCGCCCCAAGCCTCAGTTTCCCTCACATCTAATGAGCCCTTCCCAGACAACATCACAAGGTGACGCTCAGGGGAAGCTGTAAAGATGTGGGAGGGGCACAACCTCCCAGTCAAGCTTCCTACCAGGCAGGCAGGAAGCCAGGGACCAGGGATGACAGCTGCAAAGGCACCTGTATCAGTTGATACTCAGTGGATAGCAAGCATCACCACATGGCCTCAGGCTGTTTCACAGCAGGTCCACAATGATACTCTCTACTGATTACTGGTGCCAGAAGAGCAAGGAATCCCAGGAAACAGGGAAGGCTTCTGGGGCTAGGGGTCCCCTAGGTCTAACACACCACATGGTGCTGCATACAACTATACTTCTGTCACCGATCCACTGGATCATTGTAAGCCCTTATGCAGGTACCATTATTCCCTTTGCACAGAAAAGGAAACTGAGGCATGGGGGAGGTGATGTCACTTATCTAAGATTTGGAAGAACTGAGGCTTAAACCCCAAATGTAACTGCAAAACCTGTAAGAAACAATTTTAGGGTTACACGAGAACTGGATGGAACCACCTCACCTCCATAGCAAACACATACTGCTCTGCAGCTCTTGGTCAAGCCTTATTAATTCTCAGAGAGGTACCAGTTTAGTGCCAGGAATCTTTATCTAGTAGTTCAGCATATAAAGTCAGACCCAGCCTTTGCCATTGCTGGCTTTACTACTTGGCCATAGAAGTTAATGACTTTGGTACTTATTTTCATGTATGTCAGGAGAGGGTGGCTTCCTCCTCACAGTGACATTAGCATTCTTTTAAAAATAGACCCACACAGTCTTGGAAGTATGCCTCAGCAAGAGGGTATATGTTTAGGATGTGTGAGACACTGGGTTGGATCTCCAGAAACACCCCAAAATAAATAAAATTAAGTCTGGAGAGCTTGGGGCTGTAGTTGAGTTGGTAGAGTGTTTTCCCGGTATTCACGAAGCCCAGGATTCCATCCCAGCATTACATAAACTGGGCACTGTGGTGCGTGGCGCACATCTATTAGCATAGGTGGTGTAGTGAACCATGACTAAAACCCCAGCATCTGGGAGGTGGAAGCAGCAGCAGAGAAGCCCGAGGGCTTCCTTGGCTGAACTGTGAATACGAAGCCAGCCTGAGTTAGTGACCTGTCTCAGAGAAACAAAAACAAACAAAAAGTCCATATAAAAAAGAAGACAAATGAAGCACCCAAACTGGTATTATTAAACTTAAACTATAAAAGGAAGAGCAGTAACTCAGCAGTGGAGAGGGCCGGCTAACATCACCAAGGTTAACAGGACTGGCAGCCATAGGACAGGGGATGTGTGCCTGCCTCTCAAAGCACTCTAGTGGGACACACTCCTCTGAGGTCTTAATTACATTGCTTGTATGGAATCCAGAGCACAAACATCTGACAACCCCAGGCAGACACAGCCAGACTGGCACCTCAAAAAGTTCCAGTGTCACCAAGACACAGACAGACTGAGAAGCAGTGGCTTCAAATCCTGCACTTTTACCGTTAAAGGACACTCCTGGGACAGATAATATGTGAATAAAGCCATGGACCAGAGTGCTCCCAGGGTCAGATCCCTGTCACAGTTTCTGATTCCAGCCAGACATGGTGGTACCTACCTATAATCCCAGTGTTCAAAGGTAGAGCTGGGAGGTGGGGGGATTTGGTCAGGAGTTGTAGGCCAGTCTTAGTTACAGAAGCAGTCCATCTCAAAAATAACATTTTGCTGGTTTTGATAATGGTACTATAGATACTAAGTACATCCTTGTTTTAGGAAAACAGCAAAATATTCAGAAACAAAGGAACATCATGTCTGCAAGGCA